TGTTTCTGGGTTGTGGCCTACTTGCCTTATTTTGCACTATTAAATAACCTATAAAAATAGATAGTGTGAATTAAAAGAAATGAGCCTTGATCACTGCAGGTGATATAGAAGAACAAAATAATAGAATCATCCCAAAATGAACCAGTGGGGACTTAATTTAAATCTGAATTAAGGGAAATAAATATAACTCAAGGGTAATCTCTATTTAAAAAACAATATATCTTTATCAATATTTACACCTAATTTAATCTGTCCATATCCTAACTGCTCAGCAGTATATCATAAGCCATAAGTGATGATACTTACAGGCTTTTAAAAATTATCTAAATCATCCCTTTTCAAAAGTATCTGCTTTCTACTATAATTAGAAAGGGGAGGGTGTATAAAGGAGTTTTAATCATTTGTCCCTTGCAAAACTTTCTGCTAGTGCTTTGTCCACTGAATATGACACTTGGTTCTAGAAAAACAAAAGTAATATTTAAGGTGTTATAGTGATTGTACACTGAAAGATGATGTTATTGCCCCCATAGGCAGAAAAAAAATTCCATGAACCATTTATTTTTTATATTTTATTTTTTAATCTTATTATGTATTGGTTTTGGTTATACTGTTTAGTGGTCAGACAATCACATATTTCCCATAGTGTTCTCTTTGATATGTCCATTACCCCAATTGGCACCATTCATAGTTATCACAATATTATCAACTACATTTCAGATAACCAAAATTAATGGATAGATATTAGTGTAATAACAGGTTGATAAGCATTAAATATGTATATTTACCTGTAGTAGTAAGACTGAATGATTGTTATCAGCTCATATCTCTTGTCTTAGCCTAAATAATAATAGTCCCCTTTATCCTCAAAACTTCTCTTAGTAAGTTCATAAATGCCCTCGAGTTATGGGAGGTAGTAGTGTGTGCAAAGGAAGAGGAAGCTGACACATGCGAGGACAGATACCAACAGCACACTGGCGCAGAAGAGGTGGGGGATTCCTCCCAGCATTTGCAGCTTCTTCCTGTGCTCATCACTGAGTTCCTTTGCACATTGGGAATCCCCATAGGGGTCAAATGCTTGCTTTCAAAGAATGAGTAATGAGAATGGATTTTTGGTACCGAGGCAGCAGTTGTAATTTAGACAAGGCAAAGCTGCAACCTGAGTGCCTTTCAACCCTCCAACAGTTGAAAATAAAAACTTTCTGGAAAGGAAGATTTTAAAAGCAACTTCAATGTTGATTCAAAGGAGTAATTCCTTAGTCATCGACAACTAACTTCTATGTTACAGCCACATGGTTTTGGTAACAAGAAGCAGATGGTATCTATCATCAGCTCCAAGTGAATAATTAGACACGACCTCTCTTATTATTTGCAGTGGAGATCCGAGGAAAGCTTTACTTATCACCTTCACATAACCAAGGGCATAGGAAGTGGGAGAGATGTTTTAGTTTGATGACAGTTTATTTTGCCAATAAAACAACTTGGGCATATTTAATGAGATATTTTCATTTTTCAAAAGGACAGAGTTCAGTTTGTCTTTGTATTGTGTAGGAAGCCATCACGATAGCAATCATTAAAATTTTATTTCTATTGGAATATAGACTTGTCAGCTATAACCAGGGTCTAGTTTGAGGATAGGAACTCTAATCGCTTTTCATCTTCTATACTACAGTGAATAAAAAGAAAATTTCTAGAGGGTAATTTTGAAGTGGAAAATGTACTTTATATTCAGCTTGGAGGCAGAAGCTAGATAAAGAATTGTAAAAAGAAAGAGTTACTTTCCTTGATTGAGAAGCATATTCCTTATGCTCAGTTACTCTAAACCCTTTCCAGTATGATTATGAAACTCTGAGGCCAGGAAGAGCTGGACCCAGGACTTGAAAAATAGTCAAGTGTAGTCATAGTTAAATCAATAATCTGATTAGAACTCAAGACACAAAATTATTACAGATCAGACTTCCCTTTGCATTCTGTCTTTGAGCCACTTTCCCCTCACATCAAAATTTCCACCCAGTATTTCTGCACTGGCCAGCTCCTGTACCCTGTGCCTCTGGTAAGAGGTAAAATGGGGAGGATGGACTGTTATCTCATTATCAACTGACAATCACCTGTAGCCTTCACATTTTAGAAACTTTTTGCACTTTTATGTTTTACAGGTTGTAAATTTGCCTTGAAAAATTTCTGTTCGGGCCAAAATTCTTGAGCAGTTTTTATTTCCTAAAATTAAACTAAGAAATTAACAAGTTTAGTGCTCTACTACCTAGAATAAGAGGCATTTTTATTAACTGACCTGCTATCCAAGTTATACTCTGGGACAAATGTAGTATTTAATTCTTTTTCTTTTAAATTGAGGTATAATTGACATATAACATTAGTTTAAGATATATATATATATAATGATTCAATATTGGTTATTTTAAATTCTAATATACAACTCAGTTATTTTATTGAAAAGAACATTAAGTTTGATTTGATGATGTTACTTCAACTGGGATTCTACTCTCTGGCTATGGTTTTCAAATGTTCTTGATTTAGTGACTCATTGTTTTTTCACCAATAACTACATTTCTTTCATCAGTTTTACATTCTATACCAAGAAAAACTAAATAATTTGAAATTTCAACATGTGAAAAAAATGAAAACCAGAAAGTAACTTGTTTTCTCAGTTTTGGTTTAAGAAAGCAGACTACTTTTTAACAAATGTTACTAGAACAACTAGTATTGGTTTGAGCTAACATATAAGATAATTGACTATTAGTACGGGGCTCTGTAATACATGACAATTATGGATTCTCAATTGATTTAATTCAGTTTTGAACACTTAAGAAAACTTAGGTTACTGGATCTCAATGTTCCTAAAATCGGTATATCTACACGTCCTAGGACAGAAGATCTCAAAATGTGGTCTTAGACCATTGAATTAGAATCATCTGAGGTCCCAGAAGGGGGTATGCAGGAGTCAGCCAATTGATGATTCTCTCTCATCATTGGTGTTTCTATCTCTTTTCCTCTCCCTTCCTCTCTCCAAAATCTATAAAAAATATTTAAAAAATATTCACAGACCTAAATCTAAAATGCAAAATTAATAATTCCTAGAAGGTAACACAGGAGAAAAGTTAGATGATCTTGAAATTGGCTATGACTTTTTAGATATAACACCAAAAGCATAATCCATAAAGAAAAAGATAAGTTGAACTTCAATATCATTAAAATTTCTGCCCTGCAAAAATTTCTTCTTTACACTGTCAAGAGAATGAAAAAATAAGCCACAGACTGGGAGAATATATTTTCAAAAGATGTCTGATAAATGACTATTATCCAAAATATACAAAGAATTCTTAAAACATAGAAATAAGAAAATACCAACCTGATTTAAAAATGGGCTAAAGACCATAATAGATATCTTGCCAAAGATGTACAAGTGATAAATAAGCATGTGAAAAGATGCTTCATATCGTATGTCATCAGGAAAATGCAAATTAAAACAATAATAAGATACCATTACAAACCTATGTGAATAGCCAAAATCCAGAACACTGACACCACCAAAAACTGGAGAGGATGTAAAATGAGGGACTCTTACTTATGGCTGGTTGGAATGCAAAATAGTACAGTTCCTATGGAAGACTACTAACCTTATAAACCTATAAAATGTTTTTGAGCACCTCTTGGTTTAATAAATAGTACAGTAAAAATGTATATTTAAAACTTTAAAATATGATTGTTCTTTTAAAAAATATATGTTATTGATTTTAGAGAGAAGGGGAGGAGAGAAAGAGAAACGTGCTCCTGCATGCCCCTACTGGGGGTGAAGCAAATAACTTGGGCATGTGCCCTGACTGGGAATCAAACCATCAAGCTTTTGGTACATGGGACGATGCTCAACTAACTGAGCCACACTGGCCAGCGAGGGCTAAAATACTACTGTTATAACGGTATTAGACAAAATATTTAAAAATACAAGTTTAAAATATCTAGATGTTATATCACTATGGCAAAAGGGGAGAGGAGAAAATTTTTGCTTACGAAGATGAACACAAAACAATGAAAGATGGTCAATAAACTCAGTACGTGGGTAAACTATCATTTGAAGAAATACAAATACTAAGGCAATCTTTCAAAACAGATTTTAAAATAAGTATTTTTTGAAATCCTCAGAAATCAAAGAATGAGTATCATTCCTAAAACAAGAGAAAGAAATCATGCCATACAAACAAACAGATGTTTTCCAGAACAAGGAAAATGAAAAGAACCAATTAGAAATCCCATCACTGAAAACTATAGTTATTTTTTATTTAATAGATGGACATAACTAAGGAGATGATTAATAAATTAGAAGACCCCAAACAAAATACTAAGAGGGTTTTTTTTTTTAAAAAAATGAACTTACACCTGTTCAGGAAATAGATTGAAAAGTTCCAACATATGCCTAATTTGTGTTCTAAAAATAAAAATTACAACAATGGGAAAGAGGCTAGATTTGAAGAAATGAGAAAGTGTCTCCTGAATCCAAGAAAGAAATTGATCCTCTCACAGATAGTGACCAAAGTGGTGAATATGAGAAGTAAAAATTCTATATACAGTATGATGACACCACCACCCTATATGACACTTTTTTTGTGAAATTAAAACAGTGCCCTCTGATGATGCTGTCCTTTAATTTCATGACTTGAGTGAGTGCCCTTTAGCCTAGCTTTCAGCCCCAACTTGTTCCCTTAGCCATATTCCTTTGAATGGAGCAAGAATTTCAGAAATGTACATAGTGTGTACAAGTAAAAAATGAGAGAATAAAATTAGGATTTGTTTTACAGACTTTCTCACAAAGCAGCAACAATTACACTGAGATTATTCCACCCCTCGTGTTAATACTAAAAGCCAATAGAACAAAATCTTTAAATGTTGAGGGAAAAGGAATCATAACTGGAGGCTTTACCGGTATACAAGACTATAGTATCATTCAAGAGTAAGTACAAACGAAGTCTAATGGAATTTATTTCTTACAGATTCTTGCTGAGAGAACTATGAAAGGATGGACTCCAAAAAATGGAAAAGTGAATCTAAGGAATGGAGTGGGATATAAGCAATAGTGGTGAGTAAAAATAGTAGTAAAATATGTGCATTTAATTAAAACCTAATAGATACTTTTTACGTTTGATCATGGTGATTTTGTTGAAAAAGTTGATCAAGTTAGATCACCTTGTGTTATTTCCATTGGACTCCCCTTTCTATGGTTTCAAGTATTTTCAATGTAGGAACTCACTCTTGTTTAGCAATTAACTGCTCTGCCTCTCAGTAGCTGACCATCATTATATTAAGAAGAGATAAACAGTTGGAATTTCAATGACATAAGAAAAAGAACCACAGAAAGTCACTTTTTATTTGTCTTAGTAATCCCTGGGAAGTCTCACCTTTTGCTTAGAAAAGTGACTACCATGTAAAAGATGCTGAAAAAGTAGTTTTCAAGTTAATAAATATATTCTTAATTAAATTTTAAGAATATTTTTGATGAGAGACAGTATTTTGGTGGGAATTATAGAATCATATAATTGATTTCTTCTTACCAGAAGACAATGATAAAAATGCAGCTGGCTAAAAACGTGTTACAATGTCTATATTTAAAGAACATATAGCAATCTTCAAAGAACAATTTTTGAAGAGGCAGTTTTCTGTGGAGTATTTTTCCTTAAATAAATTAATCTTAGATTTAAAAAGTTATTTGGTTTTCTTTGGACAACAACAACAAAAGGTTGTTGTTTGGAAAACAAACATTTTTAAAGATAAAATTTTTGGTGAAATTTTCTTTCAGAATATGTCACACTGTCATTTTTATATGGAAGAGAGAGACATAAGCTTTTCACCTAGACTTGCTCAGCATAGGAGCAATTTTTACGTTGAAGCTGCATGGCTACCCTCGTGTTAATTTTGGACCTTCTCAAACAATGGCCTGGCCAGCTCCAACCTTGTGGTAAAATTAACATCTTTGTAGAATAATGGTAATTTTCCTACACTTTTGCTCCATATGCAGCTTGCTAGTCAGTAGTTGCGTATATTTACAGTATTGGTGCGAATTGTCAAATTGCTTTTGTTAATTCTGTGATTACCTTAGAAAGACATGGCTTTTGTCCACATTCTCCCTGCTGTCAAGTGTGAGTGAGACATTAACGTTAAAAGCCAGACTTTTCATGAAACAGGTGGTCCTGGTCTCAAAATATCTATCTACTTGGTACTTGTTGGCAAGTCAACTATGAAAATGTCTAGGTTTTATATGTGGGTGTTTTTTTTTTTTTTTAATCTGAGGTTATTGATTATTAAAACTGGTGATGTGGCTACCTACTTAGAGTGAGTGGCCATAGGCAGGACATTTGGATTCAGATATTTAGTTACTTAGAGCAGCAGGACAAATGCCAGGGCTCACAATCCATATTGGGGTATTTTCTGCTTTCCTGCCTTCTGTCTTCCCATGAAAATCCATTAGCATCTACTGATTTACAAAAATAAATAAATAAATAAAACATAAATCTAGTAAATATCCAATAGTTTCTCCTATCTTTTGCTACATATTTAAAAGAAGATGTATACTTTGGATTAAAAGCTAAAGAAACGTAAATACATAGACACAATTATGCTTTAAGTAATAGCATTCATTGTTTGACATTAACACTTTCCCAGGCTTGGTAACTATGATTAATCTACTGGAATGAAATGATTTACAAAGAGATAATAGTGGGAACTCTGGAGCTGTGGGACTTCAGAAAAACTTGTTTGAGAAAAACCTCAAGGAAATACAATTATTTACCCCTTAAAAATCAACTTGAATGAACTGCTTTAAAATTATGAGGAAGAGGGGATCCATTCCGTTTTCCTTTATCCATATTTTTAAATGTTTCAGTAAAATATATCAATAGTGTAGAGTACATTGCATATGTAATAAAATTAATAGTCATTTTGACGGACAGAAGTCACACTGGGTACTGAAAGATAGCCGTGATCAGGAGGGAAGTGTATTACTCAGACTTTGTTTAGGATATGGAAACCACAGCAATTTTAACAGGAGTTAGCATAATGAGTTGTCAGCCAGGAAGTCAAAATCTATAAAGGGAGAAGTAAGGTTTCACAGAACATCCCTAGGGCTAAATAAAGGGAAGGGTTTAGGATTAGTAAAACTGTAGAAGCTTGAATGAGGGGCTCAGTGCTTGGGACTCCGGTTTCTGGGGATCTGCATTGGTGCTTCAGGAAGGCCACAAAGGTGCTGTGTGGGACTGGGAGCCAAACCTTTGAGGAGGTGGCACCAGTTGGCTTCACGGGGGTCCTGTGAGGGGCCATGGTGATGTTGGTTCTGCCGGTACTGGAAAAATGTCTAACTGGAATTAACTGCACCACTGGAACAGTCAGCAAAAAGAACTGAAACCAGGACCAGGAAATAACCTAGTAGCAAAGTGCATCTTCTATCTCTTCTTGTCTACCCTCTCCCAAGTACACCCCTTGGTAGAACCTAAAAATGATCTAACTAGCAAAACACTGCTTTGCAAGTTCCAGCTTCAGAACCACAAAAACAGTGAAGAAAGAAGAGTAGATTTGGAGTTAAGAGACGATAGTTGAAATATCAAGCACAAGAAAAAGAAAAACAAAAACTGACTTGGCTTGCTTGCCTTTTATATGTTTATTTCATGAAGCTTATATTCAATATTTTGGATTTCATATTTTTAGGTAAAAGTAACCAATTTTCAAAAAAAAACCACCAAACATTATTGCTGAATTAGCTCAATGAGAAGGAAGAGAAAGTCATTGAATAAAGATAGTTGAACAAATACTTGTGCTTCCCCAAATCTCCTAAAATGGCTGAAACAGTATTTTTAAAAATAACCCTGATTATAAAACAATAATAATTCATGGCAGAAAGGAAGGACATGAGGTCAAAAGAAAGCGCATGAATTTGAATTCATTCAGAACGACACTGTAGAAAAGGCAGAACACAAACAGAAGGAGCACACCACTGCAGACCTGGGAGTGATTCTCAGAGCTGCAGCCTCAGGGTCCGTGAATGCAAGAAGCGGGTGAGGCGTCTGAAACATGGGGATCTGTAGTAGTGTAATTCCTTTCTGAGGAGAAAAACCGGTCTCCAGTGGTGCTGAGCAGGGAGCAATAGCAGTTCGCTGTCATGATAAAGTGATGACTGTATGTAGCTGTGAGACCAGAGAGGTAGTCCCTTGTGTGGCTAGTGGCCTCCAGGAGGAGCATGGAGCTGCAAACAAACTCACCCACAAAGCTCCCAAGGGAGCTATAAGAGAAAGGAGGATCCATCTCAAGAGTCAGACATTGACTCTGGATCATCAGAGAATCAAGGATCGCATACAGAAATCTATCTCTTTCAGAGAGTCAGCACATTCACCAAAGAGGTGATTTGACACCTGAAAATTTAGTTAATTGAATAAAGAAAAATAGTGAGTGAAGCTATAATTGATATTAAAGAGATGATGTCTATTTTAAAAAGCCATTATTGGAAGAAAAATAGATATATTGGTAATTATAAATCACTAGAGGCCCAGTGCACAAAATTTGGGCATGGGGGTAGGCAGTCCCTCAGCCCAGGCTGCACCGTCATGCAATCCAGGACTCCTCAGGGGATGTCTGACTGCCACCCCCTCGCAATCTGGGACCACTGGCTCCTAAACGCTCACCTGCCTGCCTGATTGCCCCTAATCACTCTGCCTGCCTGCCTCATTGCCCTTAACTGCTCACCTGCCTGCTCACCTGATCTCCCCTAACCACCTCTGCCTTGGCCCCAGCTGCTGCAGCTTCATCTGGTAGGTCATCTGGAATGATGTCTGGAAGGTTGTTCATCTGTCCAGTCTAATTAGCTTATTATGGTTTTATTATTATAGATTGGTAATTTAAAAATAATCTTAATTATAAAATAACTCATGACATAAAGAAAGCAGATGGGGAAAAAGAAAGCAGATGCATCTGATTCATGCATTAACATGGATTAACAACAATACTTATACCAATTTAAATATCTCAGTAGAAATTTTAGTATCTCATTAGTTAGCTTAATGGCAGAGTAGATGCAGATAAAGACTGAATTTAAAAAGTCAAGGGTTTCTTCAATACAGGAAACAAAAGACAGATATTAAAAATGGCTCTTGTGAAAAATTTCTTAAAAACTATGTTATATGGAAGATGGGTCCAGAATGTGCAATATAACTAACTGTCTTATGAGTATTCCAAGCACATAGAACAAAGAGGGTGAAATGGAAGAAGTAATCAAATAAATTATTTGGAAAACATTTCAAAGTGAAGTAAACATGAATTCAAAGGATCCACCAAGTGGCCAGTGGATTAAACAATAAAAGGCATCTGTCTTTTGTCATCACTGTTAAATCCATAACATATAAAACAGTGCTTGGCTCATAGTAGGTGCTCGATTAGTATTTATTGAATGAATGAAGCTAAATATAAAATAGTAAGTTTTGAGAACACCATGGATTAAAAAAAAACGGGGGCGGGGGAAAGACAGAAATGAGAATTAGGTTTGCATTAGACTTAACATAGGAGATACTAAGTGGGACAAAATTTCACATTCTGAGGGATATTTATTTTGAACCTAATATCTTATAGCCAGTCACATGAACATTTAAGGGTGAGTATAAAATAAGACATTGACAAATATTCTAAGACTCATAAATACAATAATCTACAGACCCACTGTAAAATAAGTATTTAAACTTGTGCTCTGGCAAGATAAAAATGATTGAAGAAATTATTGTGAGCAAGTAAATAAATAAAGCGGGTAATGAAGTCCATATAATTATGCTTCATTAAGTCATAAGCCCTGGCCAGGTAGCTCAGTTGATACAAGCATCTTCCTAATATGCCAAGGGTACAGGTTTGATCCCAGGTCAGGGCACATACAAGAATCAATCAATGAATGCATAAATAAGTGGAACAAATCTATATTTGCGCTCTCTTTGTCTCTCTCTCTCTCCCTTCCTCCTTCTCTTCTTTCTTTTTCTCTCCCTCCTCCTCCCTCTCATCCTCCTCCTTTTTCTCCTTCTCCTCCTCCTTCATTTCCACTCTCTCTAAAAACTC